TGTGTGTGTGTGTGTGTGTGTGTGTGTGTGTGAGAGAGAGAGAGAGAGAAGTAAGTAAGAGCCCTAAGTAGTCTAGATAAACAGATGGTCATCTTTCACTGCCAACTGTTGCTAAACAGAGCTGAATGTCTGTGTGCGTGACTGCTGAAACCTGATTGGTTCCTTCAGAGGAAGTAAATTTAGCCAAAATGTAGAATTTTTATTTTTTTTGTTGAGCATTACTTTAGCAGCTACATTTAGAAGTGCAAAACTTACACACTTCACCTTTAAAAGGCTCAAATTTTGAAAAATCTAATTTTACTTTTCTCATTTGAGATAGAAATGTATATATATATATATATATATATATATATATATATATAGTAATAATAAATAATATTTAGTATACATTATAATTGCACATGTTATATTATATTAAATATTAAATCAATTATATATATATATATATATACGTCTATATATATATATATATATATATATATAATTGCAATACAAATTACAGCATTTGTAGAATGTGGCTTCTGTTTTGTGGGCATGTGTTTCAGGGAATCAGGAAATCACAAATGCATCAATGTCTCCTGCTCTAAACCCTTTGTAGTTTATTGTGTTGACCTTCACTTTAAACAGCCATGTTAACATTACATATGAACGGTGACATGACGGAGGACTCAGGTGACAACGCTGAGATGGACATGGACAGTCCTGCCAAACTCATCGCTCAGTGCTGCAATGAGCAGACCGAGAAGATCTGAGATGATCCAGAGGAAGCTATGATGATGACGGAGGAGGAGGAGGAGGAGGAGGAGAAGGCTTGTGAACAGGCTACCGATCTGAACTCGTCCTCGTGTCTCACATCGGCACAGAGCAGCAATGAGGCCATCACTCTGGCCTTTTTTGATGGGATGGATGTTGCAGAGGAAGCCAAGTCAACATCAGAGGAGAAGAATACAACAGGTGAGAGACACGAGATGGATGAATGTAATTCAATGATGGACAACCTGGAAAAGCATCACGTTTAGGGGCTTAAATACTCTAAAATAGCTAATTACAATAGAATACAAGGATGCATTAAATTGATCAAAAGTGACAATAAAGACATTTATAATGTAACGTTTCTATTTTAAATAAATGTTGTTCTTTTGAACTTTCTATTCATCAAAGAATCCTGAAAAAATAAAATGTATCATGGTTTCCACAAAAATATTGGGCAGCCCTGTTTTCAGCGATAATAATCAGAAATGTTTCTTGAGCAGCAAATCAGCATATTAGAATGATTTCTGAAGAATCATGTGACACTGAAGACTG